GGAAAAGCTGTGCACAGCACACCACATGCTCTGAGGAGGGAGAAGGACAGGAGAGCTCACTTCTCTTCCCTCTGAGGAAGAAGCCGTGCATGCTTCTTCTCACTCCTCTTCCCTGAGGAAGAGACTGTACAGGATGCCTCTGCTGTGGGAAGGAAGCCTACACAGCACATCCTCTCTGTGAAGGCAAAGGTGTCTAACATGTCTCCCTCCTCCTCTGAGGAGGAGGTGGCCTCTCTAATCTGAGGAGGCAGCTATGTACCTCTCGATGTTCTGAGGCGGGAGATGACCATAGTACCATTCCCCCTGAGATAGAACCCCTTAGGGGAGAGTGATCTTTTAACTTCCTGTCCCATCACCAGCATCTGTGACCCAACTGAGAAAAGTGAAACTGATCAAATATCTGTTACTTGGCTAAAAACCAGCATAGGAAATATTTTAAGAAGTGGAGAATCAAGATTGTCTCCCAGGAAGGACAATTACCTGGAGCTGCTCAAGCCTCACAGTTCAATTTCTAGCTTCTGTGCCAATGTCCAGAGGGCAGGTCGGAGATGGCCAGGAGACATACGGTAATGACCCTGACTGTGAGTCTAAATGTCATCTTTACAAACTATCACCTGCACATAGAATAGCAAAACCTGGATGGCTGCACCAGCTGGCCAGGGGCCATCGGTAAACATGAACAGAAAATGCCATCAGTAAGAATGAACATAAACTATGGGACTGGTTTTGGTGATATTTCCCTTCGGAGTGCATAACATAAAATTCTTTAAGAAAGGAACAAGCAAACCCAAGGAAATCTAACTATATAAATTTATTGCTAAATTTTAGATTTGGATAGTAAAATTACCACATATAAAAATTATGTTTTCATTGGGATTCTCAAGAGAACCATAGTTCTGAGAGACTGTGAAGCATCTGTATTATCCTGTCATGAATAAATATCAATGGTGAGACACTGGACACAGGAGACACAGGACAGAAGGGCACTGCCTATCAAGATTGGCGTTAGGCTCCTCCCATGTCACTTAGTGAACCTGTGTGGAATCCAGTCATGTAGGTTGTTAACCCATATTGGTTTACAAACTACTTCTGAGTCACCAATGAATAACTCATCTCCTTTCTCCAGTAAACATGAATGTCTTCCCTCTGGATTTGCTCGATCCAGAGGAAAACCAAATCCTGAATAACACATCTCCTCTCTCTCTAATAAACTTTGTTATCACGCAAGCACTGAGTTGCACGAGTTATATATCAGGAGCCTGTCTCAAAAACCATCATCATCACCACCACTACCACTACCACCACCACCACCACCACCACCACCACCACCACCACCACCACCATCACCATCACCATCACCATCATCATCATCTGGGCTGCAAACTGACCTTCAGACTCTGGTGAGGAATGGCCCTTCCCAAGTTCCTTCACATGAATATTGACAAGGCTCAGCTTCTGTGGACTGAAGGGCCCCTCATAGACTCTGGGCCATATAATGTTCTTAGTATTTCCCAAAAGATAGTCTAAAATGCAGTGGCTTGTCCCCCAGAGCAGCAAGCAAGAAGAGTATTAACAGGGTCCTTGCCAGGCAGTATTTCTGATCCATTGTAGACTCCCCCTACCCCATGTTACTACAGGTCATTTGCCAGAGAGGAGATGAGTTATTTATTAATGATTCAGACGCAGTATGCAAAGCAACATCAATAAACAAACTCCCTGCCTGGATTTCACACCAATTTAATAAATGGATGGAAAGAACCCAACAGATCTTAATAGGTGGTGTTCCTCTGTCTTGCTGTCTCACTGTTGTGTGCTCATATTCAGTGTAATAAGGATGCTACACAGACCCTCAGAAGTATAGTACTGGACTCATGGCAGTCCTCCTGCCTCAACCTTTCAAGTTCTGGGATTACAGGTCTATGCCACCATACTCTGCCATGACAGAATGACTCTGACCTCAGCTGTATAAATGTCTCAAAGTCAACAGATCCAGCTAACCTGAGCTCTGATCTCTGACCCACAGAAAGCAGAGATAATGGATGCTGTTGGTTTAAGCCATTGTGTGTTGGGGGTCTCTTGTTACAGTATCAGTGACTGAGTGATGGGGCTTTTATTTAGACCATCTTTAGACAAAATGCTATTTGGGACAGAATGTTGTCCAAGGGCTTTAAAAACAGCACTTTTCATTACCATCTTTAAACATAAAAGTCAAATTATTTACAAATATCCAGGGCTTTGACAGAAAGCGTTATCTAAGAAAGAATCTTTTGCAGACATAAATTTTCTTTCCTCTCTTAAACATATCTATATTTTGAAATGATCTAAGATGTTAGTTTCAATTTTTTCACTTCTCTTATGGAATTTTGGATATGTGTCATGTATGTCAGCTGCCCTCTGCATGAAGGGATGCATCAACAGAGCATGTTTGTTTTAAAGCAATGTTTACTTATTGACGGTTGTATAACTTTCGAACCACAAATTAAAAGCTACTACTTTCCTGACATAGCTTAGTTCTAAGAGAATTCTTCAAAAGGAGTGTCCTAAGAAATGACATGAATTTCTTTCTGTCTCTGAAACAGAACTCATGTGACAAACATTAGCTCTTTGAGTCAGGAATAATATTTAGGGAAGAGATGAGGCAGTAAGAATAGAAAACACACTTTGTGGCTGGGATCACTTGCACAGATATACGATCTTCCACATTCCAGGCACATTGCTTATAGACCCACAGATATTTTACGTCTAGAAAACTGGAAAAACATGACTGAGTTTATTCTCTCTCACATAGACTTGATGACTCATATTTTTTATGGAGATGTAGGCATAGAGTCCCAACCCTAACCTCTTTGTGCCTGATACCTGTTGTGAGGGAGATGGATTTCCCAGTGGAGTGACACAGGATATGTCAACCACACTGGGCAAGCCTCATGCTTGGGTTTAAAAGGCCAAGAAAAAAATGGACCCCCATATCTTTATGTGTGCTTTCTTTGTTTTGTGTTTTCCTGAGAGAGAGTTTGTATGAAGTTGGGAAGATGAGGTAGTGAGAGAGATTTGGGAGGAGATGAGTAGAGGGAAGGAATGCAATCAGATATGTTGTATGAAAAATTAATAAAAAATAAACTAGATTAAAAAATGACCCGTGTGGCAATGCTGTGTGCCACCTGGGGACAGCAAACCTTTCCATACGCAGCAGCGAGGAAGCACTTAACCTTAACTCTCATTCTCGGGCTTCTTTATGAGTTCTTTTACATTCTTAGTAAATTAATCATTATAGTATTAACCTAACCCTCTTAATAATCACTAACCACAGCCTAGAAAGCCTAGTTCTATCCTATCCTACTTACTCCGTAATTACAAGGTAAGACTTTCCCCTTCAAAGCACCTCCTTTTCTAGGAATGTTTACAACTTTGTTCACCTGGTTAGGAGGTCCAGGTTCACGCCTCCCACCAGATAGATAGGCAGGATTCCATGTGCACTCCCATGTTTCCTCCAGAAGCAGAAGGGATTCTGGGAATCTGTGCTTACAAGGATGGCTGAATGGGAAGGGTCATGTCAAGGGTCTCAGTTGTAGCCAGTGTACCACATGGTGCTATGACTGTTGGTTATGATGGGATCCCAGGGTGGCCTTTCAAAAGGAGTCTTGGAGAAGAGGAGAGAAGTTGGCAGAGCATTGTTCTTTGTACAGATACAGGGAACCAATCATAAGGGCACTCCTGTTCAGTGAGCACCTGACAGAATGCTCCTTCAGAACCTTCTGAGGAACAAATACATAAGCCATTGCTTTGAAGGATTCTGGGGTAGAACATGCTGGACCCCACAGTTGCTAGTGTAGTTATCCTATTGTTGTTAGTATGGTTATCCCATTGTTGTTAGTGTACTGATCCCACTGTTGTTAGTGTAGTGACCCCACTGTTGTTAGTGTAGTGATGCCACTGTTATTAGTGTAGTGATCCCACTGTTGTTAGTATAGTGATCCCACTGTTGTTAGTGTAGGGATCCCGCTGTTGTTAGTGTAGGGATTCCACTGTTGGCTGACGTAGTAATTACGCAATTCAAGACAACTTCAGCCTGGAGCTGCAAATCTAAAGCCCTTCAGGGACCCCTCTGCACTAATCCTAGCTTTGAAAGTTTTGGGGAATAGTGAAAGGAGCTGATATTGTCATGCTCTGTGCATGCCTGCTCTGCTGCTCAAAGATCAAGGCAACCTGTTGAGGGTGGGGTGAAGCACATAAGATGGTGCCCAGGTGAAAACTCTCCCAAATAGACCCAGATGCCCAGTTGTTCCAGTGAACTTAGATGGAGAAAATGAACACTCTTGGATGGCAGACATTCAAACAATTAAGATCAAGACAGAAAGCAATGCCCTTCTCATGCCAGATCCACCATAGAGCCTCTCTGAGCAGAGATCTCTCAAGGGCTTCTACCCCATGGGAAACATGAGATCTCAGAGCACCTGAAGACTAGTGATCTGGAAGGGGCTGGGAAAGAGAACGAGCTAGCCAGGGGTTGGATGTTTAGGCAGCTACTCAAACCCAGGGTCATATTTTAACAGAAAATTTCAGCAAGATTTTAGGGGGTAGGGGGCTCACAAAACACTAACAAAGAAAATATATAGAAGGAAATTAACTCAGCTTTCATCAGGCTCTGGCATGGTCAGGGAGTGCAGGCAGAACTCACTGGCAGCTGCTTTTTGTTTTAGGGCTGAAATGATCATTTCATCAGGAGATTGGCATTAAAAGCACAATGGATATCTCCAAGAAGACTCATCCCCCCAGACCATGCCAAGAAACAACTCTTAAAAGGAGTCATTGTGTTTCCTGCCAAGAGAATCTATATTTCCACTCCTCTATGTGGCAGTATGACTCATGAAAGAGGCTGTCGCAGGAATGCCAAGTGTCACAGGGTTGGAGATCATGGGGAAGGTGGATTCAGGAAGCACGCTCAGAAGATAGCGGGGTAGAGAACGATTTCTCTGCAGACGGGCAAGGGTCAGACTCACCGGCTCCACATTGTAGGAGAACAGCGCATACTCTTTATCTGGGGATATTTCATATCTGATGGCTCTTAAGGATTCCTAAAGGAAAAAAAGAAAGAAAACAGAATTTACAAGTGTTACAACTTTGACTCCTGTAGAGACACTGGTGCTGTTCTCAAAATCCTCTACTAAAAGAAATAAAACAGTGAACCAGCAACATTAAGTATGGCTATAGCTGTTCTTAGTTAGCCAATCAAAATGTAGTCGTTAATAGATGCTTTTAAAAATTCTGTTTGTGATTTATTTGAAGTTTCAATAGAACAGTCCTTATTGTGTATGCTGAAGAAAATCAATAGAGACAGAAAAAACAAGCACCATTTCCCTTAGTCTCTCAGTGCTTAGTCGGCATCTTTTCCTTTCTTTGTTATAGTTTGAAGCATATGCTAAGCAGAGTTGTTACTACAACAGAAGGAGTCTCTACACTCAGCTCTGTAACTTGTCTTTTCCCTGTTGTGGGGATCCTCAGGAGTTAGCCCACAATGGCTATGCTAAATTCCTCTGTCCAAATGACTGTCACTGTGAATGTGTACATCAGCAACCTATCCTGCCCTCTGCTCTTGCACACACTCCAGCTCCAACCCCCTGCCCCTGAAGGCCCGCATCAGCTGCCTGGTGTCTATCACTCCATAGTGTGGCAGTGACCACTTGAAGATTCCTGAGCCATGCCATTGAAGGGGATGCCAGGTTAGGTGTCTCTGTGTCTCTTCAGCTTCTTCTTGTGCAACAAGACCTTAAGGAACAATTGCAAGGAGTTGCTTTGTTTGGATTTTCCCTCTTTGTGCTGGCTGCATTACCTTCATATGCATTCATTCATACCTTACTAAAGGCAGGGTGGCTCTCAGTGGCTGTCTTCTAATACTCTCATCCTGAACGCCAAACTAGCACACGTGAACCCAGGACCTCGCTTCTCATGCCTTTGTGTCCACATTTTCATTAACTGGTCAAGACGTAGTATTCTGCATAGCACATAGCGTGTTTGTTTCAAGATACCTTACTGATTAGATACAGCTGAGCTATTAGCACTGAACTCTCCAGCAGCACCATGTAACAGCACATGAAGCCAAGCCTGCAACCACATTTTCTCCATTGGGCACCCACACCACAACCTTTCAGTTCTCAGGAGTGCTAAACCTGGGGGACCCTGTAAGTGCAAGATCACCCACAAATAAATATGTGGCAAAGAGTGCTCTGGAGTCCATAGGGGAAAAGCAGCTGTTCACAGTGTTAGAGCTGAGTGAGAAAGCAGAGTGTTTGGTGCTCTGTCTCAGCTGACACACCACTGCAGGACCAATGCAGGACCAAAGCAGGACCAATGCAGGACCAATGCAGGATAGTTCAAACGTGCTCCTGCCATGATAGAAATGTATCTAGTGTTCTGAGAATGTAAGCCTGCTGAGCACAGTAAACCTTATCACACAGAGAATCTCAGATCTAAAAGCTGTGAACAGGGGAATGACCGTAAGGCCGCTCCCATCAGCTGCGACTAAGAGCAGTGCCACACACCACAAAGTCTCAGCCCATGTGCCTGTGTGTCTCTGAGGATGTGGGCATGTAAGTGGGTTTTTTTTTGGGTAAGGATTTAAGGTGTAGAGAGATGATGAATGGTGCTTGAATAAAAGCTCAACAGATTTTGATAAATCACTTTCCACAGATGACATCTGTACCCCACTGTGGGTATGTCAACACAGCCTCACCCTCCTCTGAGGTAATCTGTAGTGTGATCTTCCCTTATTTGACCGTTTTAGGTGTAGGTTGGGCTTCTGTGGAGTTTTGTTCCTAGGCACATTTACTCTTTGCTCCCTATGGTAGACGTAATACTGATCTTATCTTCACCCAACTGACCAACCAAATCTGCCTGAGTACTCTGTGCTCTGATGTTCTCATGCTTGCTCTTAAACTCCTGCATCCACTCTAACTGCCTGCACCCAGCCCCTGACCTCCTGCATCCACCCCAAATGCCGGCACCCAGCTCCTAAACTCCTGCATCTTACCTCACTACTCAGCCCACATTACTCTTCTACCAGTGCCCAGGGTGTTGTTTTAGTAAATGTCATAATTCAGCTGTCACCGTACTAGATAACCTATCCTTCCCTTCTCTACACAATACTATCTTCACTTGGCTTCTGACACCCCCCACACACACATGCATGCACATGTACGTGCACACACACACTCACACATATTCACTAACCCACTTTGCTACTCCCACATATTTACTCTTCCCATTTTGCTCCTAAATTTTTTCTTGCTCTTTAGGGCTTCCCACATTCTCTGACTCCAAGCCCTGAAGTGTAGGACTAACACAGATCTTCACTTTTCTAGAGAAAACCGTTTTGTAAGTGATATCATTCAGTCTCAGGACTGTAAAAACCATGCACGTGCTGAGCAGTCGTCCTGTACACACATCCCCTGCCAAGGTATCTGAAGCCCAGATGGGACTGTGAGTACATGACCATTTCTCTGCAGCTCTGCCTGGACATCTGTGTGTCACCTCTAGTCACCATTACACCCAATCCCCCAGGCCTATGATCTCTCTCTCTCCAGCTTCTCTTGCGTCTTCCTCTCAGAAGTAACTGCTCGCAGTAGCTCAGCCGACACCCTCTCCTCCCACTGCCTCCCCTCTCCTCCTGACACCTCTTGTTCCTTCTCTCCTCCTTTGCTATACTCTCTTCTTTCTTCCATGTGTTCTATTCAGTCACTCAGAATCCCCTGAGCTCCCTGTGGAAAGGTATTCAGGGCCCCACTCCCTTGTTTCAGCTGCCACCCTTATCTGGGGAGAGTGCATTTCCTTGAGATCCAGCCCATCCCCTGGCTGGACTCCATCAGTATCCATTCTCCTCTTGTGGTCAGGGTGTTACATCACTGAAGTGTGTAACTATCTGTTTCCCTGCTGGAAATCTTCATCAGCTTCCCACCTCAGCAGAGGTCATCACTACCTAGGACTTAGTCTGGTCTGGTCCTCCCCTAATCCTCCCCCATAGCCTGCCCACCTCTCTTCCTCTTTACCCCTTATTCCAACATTCCTCTCTCTACATCTTCCAGGCATGCAGCCATGTGAGGTTTGTACTTCCTTTTTTCTCCCTGAATGTTTCAGGCTTTCTTTTCTTTAAGGCCATCCTCTGTTTAAGTCCTTCAAGGGCTAGAAGGTGGAAAAAGGATCCAACAGCCTTGCCGCTGTTCCACAAAGCACATTTCTGATTGTTTCTGTGGTCTAACCATTTTCTAAGATAGCATCCACCCTACCTATTGTCACACACTGTTGTTCTCCTCAAGAGGAAGGCTATTGTTCCAACTTTTAGTCTCCCTCAACAGGTGAGTTTGCACGCAGAGCTCACCTCCATTTTGTTACATTCATCTCTAGTTATTCAATATGATGGATGTTCCATAGATATAAAATCAGATGATGTCTCAATGCCAATACACATAAGTTGCTAATATACAGAGATTTTATGAATTTGGGCATCCTAATTTTACATTTAGAAGTGCTCTTAAATTTGGGTTTGTGTCTAAAAACAGATTCCTTGGAATTGTCTTCATAGCCATCTTTTCTATGAATAGATTCTTCTACTCTCCCTATGTTGCACTCAGTAGGTGCTGTCACTGTGAAGGAGGTGGGCAGTGCTAGCTTGCTGGACTGTGAAGGTGAGACAGTCAGCCTTTGTCCCTTTGTTTGGTGGCTGCAGAGTCTAGGTTGGTGGTATCATCTGCTTGCTCATTAGTACTTTGCTCTGAGATTTTGTAATGAGTGTGTGTTGGGTTTTTATGATGCCTTTCATCTATGTACAAGGGGATTTTGTTGTTTTGTTCTCTTTAGTCTGTCAATATGATAAATGATGCTTTTTCTGTTCAGATGGGAAGTCAACCTTATGTTCCCAGAATAAATTATACCAAGCCATGATGTATTACCTCCTGCGTATGCTTTTGAGGTTCATATACCCTTGTTATGTTGAAGATTTCTGCATCTGTGAACACAAGGAAGATTGTTCTCTAGTAGTATATTGGTTGGGTTCTCATCTCACAGTGCTGCTGGCTACAAAATGGGCTTGGGAAGCGTTTTGTTCTTCATCCTCTGCTGTTTGTTCAGTCTTTCTCCCTTTTCTGTTGCTATAGCAAAGGATCTGAGACAAAGCAGTTTACAGAGAGTAACAGTCGATTTGCTTCATAGTTCTACAATCTAGGAAATCTGAGAAACATAGGCATATGGTGAGGTCTGTCTGTCGGCACCATGACACTGAGATAAAAGCACGGAGAGCACCTTGGGAATCTCTTCCCTTGTTACAGAGCCACTCATTGTCATCATAGGACCCAAAGTCCCACCCACCCCTATTACATAAAAATTTGGGAGCTGATTTTCTGATACAGGAATCTGGGGGGACATATTTACAACGTAGTATAACTTCAAATAAAACTGATGCCTTAAATATTGGGACACCGAGCTTTAAGCTTTCTATGTGTAGTATAAATGATTTCTTCAATTTGTGAGAGCCATTAGGGACTGTCTCAGTTACTTTTCCACTACTGTGATATAACATCATAATCAAGGAAACTTTGCAAAGAAAAACCTTATTTGGGCTTACAGTTTCAGAGGGTTAGAGTTCATGAGCATCATATCAGGAAGCATGGCAACAGACAGGCAGGCATAGTTCTGGAGCAATAGCTGAGAGTTTGTCTCAACTGCTAAGCTCTGCCAAGACAAGGTAAGATAGTCCTTCATAAGTCCTGCTTCACTTAAGGTCTGTCAGATGGTTCTGGGCCAGAAGGCTAAAGACAGATGTTCCAACATTATAAGGAATACTGAGGACTGTTCAGGCAGTCAGATGTCTCTACAAATTGTGTAAGTTGTGAAAGATATGCCTTTATGCTTCCTACATATTCGGGACATATTTAATTCCTTCTCAGATCTTTGATCAGGTTGAAGACTAGTTATAGTCTCATAAATGAACTTAAGTTGTTTAGCATTAAGGAAGATACTCCAGATTTGAAAGGATGGTTTTCAGATGGTAATGCAAGTAAAAATCAAACATAATTGAGATACAGAA